TCGAACACCCGCAACGCGGAATGGCACTGCACTGTGCGCCGGAGTGACGCGACGCTTACGATTTTCGTATTTTTAACTATGTTCCACTATTTAAAAAAAATTGAAAAAAATATAAGTTATAGTGGACACTTTAAGAGAAATTTTCGTAAAAATTTCAAAGGGGTACCTCGAAAATATCACCCTAAAAAAAAAATATTTAAAAATTCAAATATTTTTTTTTTTGGTCTTTTTTTTGGCAAACATTTTGGACATTTTTTTTGTTAATTAGTTTTATTAGTCTACATAACATATATTTTTTTCATCAAGATCGGTCAAGTGGTTTTCGAGAAAAATATATTTCTTTATTTTACTTTCTTCCTGCATAACTTCTAAAAAAATGAATTTTTTAAAATAATATTTGGTGGAAAGTTTTATCATATTGGTATTAACTTGTGACATTAATGTCAGCTCTGTATAATCAAGGGCCGATTTCACATGCTTACTCCGCTAGGCCCTTTGGGTTAAAGCCGCAATTGAATCGAGTAAAAGTCGCATACAGAACACATTAACTTTTTATTAAAATCTTATATATAAATATTCTGCATCATGTATGGTTCTGGATCATATATAATCCACATAAGTTATCTTATTAAATACAAATAAAAACCATATTTGATTCGAAGTGTTATATGATCCACATAAGTGATCTAATTAAATTTTAATTAAAGCCCTATTTTATTGTGGATCATATTTAATCTACATAACTGATTTTAATAAGTGCAAATTAAAACTGTATTTAAACAAATATAATTTTAATATAAACTCTGGATTTAATTTGAATTTTACCCAAATTAAATATGATTTAATATGATTTTAGTTAGATTCATATTAGATCGTTTTTCGCGGGAAGATTTTACCACAGGTTTAAAGTTTAATTGTACAAGAGATTCATTTGTACAAGAGATTTGTACGATATGCTAAAGATTAGAAAGCTGCGATATATATATTGATATTCCTCGATACTTTCGCTACGAAAAATGTCGAATCAAGGACTCTGCTGTTAAAAAATAAAACGCGAAAAGTAGAAGACGCTGTGGAATTTTTGTCATTGCAGAAACGATAGAGATATTTCATATAATCCATAAAACGTTCGCGAAACATCGCGTATAATTCTAAATGTTCGCTCTATTAAGGGTACCTGGGAAAGTTGCTGGGTATTTTCGGCTTCTTGACAGACAAATGTCACAAAGTCTGAAAGAGTGTCATGTCCGTTCTCAGGATACTTTACTACCCCTGTAGATCCAGGATGTTCCGGCTGATAGTAAGCGAGTCCAGGCATACTTTGACCGGAGCCACCGGTTAGTCCTTCGTGAGGCGAATGCAATCCTGAAACACATTTCCCAATGATCATCTGGTCTGATTAACGACATCGATGTCATGATAAACCACCCCCTTAACTTAACGCTTGTTCTTTCCTTACCTTCGCGAGCAAAGAAGATTATTTTACTTAACCTTTGTCTTTCTCTCTTTTTTGTCTCTCTTTTTAATCGAAATTGGATGATTTACATTATATCGCGACCTATTTACAAAAATCCTATCTTAAAATCACATACAAAAAATGTTTCGATCTCTTTTGCGATACGCGAAAACGGCATTTTTCTTCCGAATTACAAGTCGTTAACAAGTCTTCACCTATTGCCGAAAGACAAAATTATTTTGTCCAATTTATTTGACGGCTCCGTGCAAATTTATTTTATCTAAGATTATTGCGTTTATTGTTTCTTTACATCATTTTAATTATCATCAATAGTAACGTGTAATTGAACAATTGGTAATAATGTTTGTTGTACAAATTAGTTGTGTTTAACACCTAGCTTCGCTTAATATAGAAACATTAATTTTTTTTATTATGATAATAAATCGCATTCAATTACGCTTACATATATGTACGCGTGTTTATACCGAATCACGAAATTGAGATAAGTTGAAATTGAGATAAGTTACACACATGGAGGTAGAAAGAATCGTAGAGGTAAAACGTATTAAGCTAATGAAAGTAAAATATTCGATTAAATCTCTCCCCGTATATACCGTTTCTTCTTTCGACGGCATTGTAGCTTAGCCCAGTTTCGTAACTAACACACGCATAAATATACAGATAGATAAATACATGGGTAGTTAGATAAGGGCAGAAAAGTCGTTGTTACCATGAGCTTGTTAGGGGGTGGTTTTAGTGACGCATACAGAGCCGATCAAATTCTGATCGGCTTATATCGTCAGTACAGATTATATTCCAAAACTATCGCAGCTTCTTTCAATCACGAATTCTTCAATAAATTTCGAATACTACTTTTAGTTCTAAATATTTCTGGTCATTTGGCCATTAAAATAGAAAAAATACAATTTCTCTTAAATTCCTGCAATTCTCATTGGTCGATTTAACAATCGAATATACCATCAAATTGTCAATAGAGCTTAGAAACATCAATCTCGGTGATTTAGTCGAAGAATTTATAGATGAAAGAAAGTACGATAATCCTGGGACACTGTACATAAATATATATATATACATATATGACGTACATACATACACATATACGTATGCATTGGATGATGCATTCCAAGCGTGAGACCGAATGGATGAAATGTACATTTATAAAATACTGCATTTTTAATATAATATGAGTTAAAATATATAGCGTGTTATATAATAGTCACAGTTAATTAGTTATGGCTTTGTAATCCATCGCGTTGCTTTGTATCGAAAATGTAATAATATTTTATTAAAATAATATATATATATATACACACAAGTAAATCTTGCTGAAAGAAACTACAATTAGGTTGTAGATCATCAATTAGATCTCTCAATCGCGTTACAACAATCATGTGCTATTAATACTATCAATGCTATTAATTTAGTTTATACGATAACAGATAAGGTGTATTTTAATATGTGATATTTAAATAATTCTTATATATATACACATATCTGTGTGATTAGACATAGTATGCATATGGTATAAACTTTTTAATGGCGCTTTAAGTAATTTATTTTGTGCACGGCATAGATAATACGTGTACGCATAATACGTGATAAGATATATACATATACGTATGTAAGTGTGTGTACGTGGACACACCAAGTGCAACAATATAGTGCAAACATCAAACAAACAGCAAGATAACAACGACTAAACAACACATCAAAAACATCAAATTAACAACAACATCAACATCAATACAATGATTAGAGTATATATATATATATAGATATATTAAACAACAACACCAACATCGCAACGATAATAGTGTAGGTAGTACCGTACGGAAAGGGCATAAACGTTTAATCAATATATTCCACGCGAATCAAATGTTGATCAATTAAGTAAGTCAATTAATCCATCCAGCATACGACATACTCAGAGCATTGGCCGTGTGACAGTGAGTAATATGGAAACAATATCGAGTGTGTGAGATGAAACTAAATCATATAGTGCACGCTTAGACGGCAGCCTTGATCGTGGCTCGACCGATCGATCGTTACATCTATTTTCGGCTGAGAGACGTAATTAATAACCATAAAATAGGTCGCTCCTTGAATGTCATTCCTCAAAGGCGATTGAATGAAATTTGTATCTGAATGGCACTCTTCGCTATTAAAAGTATTAACGCAAAAATATGTCTCTCCCAGAGAACTTTTGAATTTTGTTTTTTATCTTTCGTTTGTTCATTCGTATAAAAATGAATATATTGAAGATATTAATTCCGACGCACATTCTGTTTTTTTTTTATTCTTTAGATACAACCAATGTAAAACACCATTTTAAAAAAATATATGAAGGAAGCAAGAGATCCGATCATTACTTAACTTTTCATCGCCATGCTATTTGCTTCCACATTATCAATTAAAGTTTGCGATATATTATGTCATTTTAGTAGCCTAGAATGAAATCTATTCTGATTAATAAATGAATATTTATTCCGATATTAAATAATGTTAATTCTGAAAATTATAAAGATTTGCTTTGGATCGCCGAGCCGCGTCGAGACTGTATCGTCGAATTATTACGTGGGGGTTGTTAAATAAAGACAAAAAGAACAGATTAACAAAACAGATCGCCAAACATACAGACAGACAGACAGATAGATAGACAGACAGACAGACAGACAGACAGACAGACAGCAACAACTAGCTTGCTAGGTAGACCGTACTACGCATTTTAGCAAGAAAAGCCGTCCGTCTGTTTATCCACCCGGTTCCAACCACTATATCTGCCTTTACTATGTAATACGGACGATGCTTCCAAATGTGATGGAAAAAAGTTTTAGGAAATAATTACTTTTAATTTTGTTAAGTAGCATATTTATTAAGTTGAATAAGGCAGCCGTTAACAGACAGATGAATCAGACGGACAGGCAAAGAACTTTATAAAAAGAATATACATATAATATATATGACGTTACATATACATAGATAATAAAAATATACTAAATATAGAGAACGTAAAATCTATCATTATTTTTTAACTGTTATTTTTCTTTTTTAAGATTGCAATATTGCAATATCTTTTTTGTATAAAAGGTCAGAAAACTTAGTATTTAATAGTATATTTATTTTATTCTGTAATCCATTTGTTTACCTCATATAAATGTTACTACCATTTTAATTGCAATTACGTTAATTATATTAAAAAGAGAAGAAATGAGTCGACTGTAATAAAAATTAAGGTAAAAAAAAAAGATGACACGATTCTCAACTCGATATTTAATGCAAGCGTTGTTCCGACTAGTCGGGCTAATCTCGATCATACTACTGAATCGTTCCAGTTCAGCAAGTAAAACATTCATCGCACAAATCGTGCGTGATAACGACTTGCAAGCAACACTAATCTGAAAATCGCAAGTCCATAATCTGATAATGATAATTATTATATCCAAAAGACGTATCGTAAATTCGGGATGATTTATTATTGTGGTTCGGGCATTTAATTTATATCAATAAGAGGCACAATACGTGTGAATCTGTGAGTGAGTGTGTGTGTGTAAAATACATACACATGTATCTTAATATTGATAAATTGCTTTTTTTTAATATATTTATGTTTATGTATATGTACATTTGGTATGTATATGCGATGAAATAAGCTGAATAAAAAAACACTCACAATGAACGAATTATTACTCAACTTATGACACGTGTGCAATAGAATCGAATGGAAAATATCGTCTCGTTTTGTTACCAGCAACACTATCAAAAGAAAGTAAGTAGATGATAGGACGATCAGTTTTCGGCTCGACAGTCAATGATATTACAGTACCGCATTAACGATGTTCGTGCACATAGCTGCAGGCGGATATATATGTATGTGTATAGATAAGAAACACAATATGCAACATCGATCTAACACATATATATATTGTCGTTAGTGCTAAAACATAACATTCTTGCGACCAGGAGCGCAAGCGTTTACCATGTCGCAATCAGATGTCAGGCGGATTTCTCGCTCTAAGGAGGATTTGCCTGATAAACAGAGGATCTTGAATTAATCAACGTAATTTTTTTCGGTTTAAATTATTCGATTCCCGTTTAACAGGAATCAATAACAGGATTTGTTTTTTTTGTGCTGCTTAAATGCTAAAGATATTTGAAGAACAAAGTCGTGAAGTAAAAATTTATTTATTTCATATTATATGTGATGGCTTTTCATGCTTTTTTTCACATTCTTTATTTTATTCTTACTAATATTATATTGGCATATATGTATACATATATATATATATATATATATATATATAAACTGTATATATGTATATTAATAACAGGATTTGTTTTTCATATATGTATACATATACAAGATTGTCCTCAATAAGTACAAAAAATTAAAGGGGATATTTCGTGACTTATTTTAGAAAGAAAAGATCTGGGAATGTTTCATCGGTACTGGAAAATGGTTCTTAATATCACATGTACGCATACTAAATTTGATTAAAATATCTTTAAACGTTTTCTGTAAACCTGTATTTTGAAAACGAAACAGTTTAAAACATATGTTTATAAGACCTTTTGTAAAACAAGCCACGGAATATCCCCTTCAATTTTTTGTACTTACTTAGAAAACATCCTGTATATCAGAAGTGCGTTTCTCATATATCTTGTTCTTACATACGATCTCGGATTTCAATTTGGACATGTCTCGATGACACAGGTTGGGAGAATTACGGGCTGACATTATTGTAAATAAAAGATGATCAAGATCATGTTTCCGCGCTTACTTTATTTACGTAATAATCTGACGTCCGCGACGATACAACAGAAAATACTGCTACTACTATGGCAGACGTACAGATGCTTATACAAAGAAACTTAAAGCGCGCTTATCGAA